AGGTGGTTCAACATTATAATAATACAAATAATCTATAATCATTACCGCAGCCCTTCAGCATTTCAGTGGAATAATAAAATGAATAGTGAATATAGAATAATGTTGTGGAGTGAGCTCAGTTGTGATTGTTGTGGTGATGGTGACATGGTAACAACAGCTGCAGACTGCAGATCATGTGATCTGTTCCTGAGTCAGCAACAGATCAAACCTTTATTATCTATCTATCATCGATTAGAGTTTTCAGGGTCTGCAGGAAAGACACAAACAGAGAGAGAGGGGGGTGTTGGCAGACCGGCCTCGGTCATGTGAGACTTACTCAGGCGCTTGCACACGGCCATGCAGTACTCCTCTGAGTCGAAATTGTTTCGGTTGCCGGCACAGCCCCCGTATATGAAGCGCAAACACTTCCCCTGGCTCATGTCGAAGTGCCAGCGGGGCATGGAGGCGCGGCAGGGGCCTGTCTCAGCCTCCAGGGTGCAAACCGCTGCCAGGGGACAGCTCGTTAGATCATCTGGCCACTAGTGGCAGCACTTAAATTCCACTCTAACAATGCTACGTCTAAGATCAGAATAAAACATGTTGGAACAACTGCTTTGTGCATGTGATGAGCAGGATTTAGCGTCAGTTTGGCAGCAAGATTTGTCCTTGTATCCTGATAAAGCAGAACAGTAAATCAAAGTATCTGCTGTGAGATGAGGAAAAGGGTAAATGTTAATGCATACATTCATCTAAGTACAGTGGCTGAGATGCGAAGGTAAGTTACTATAGTTTAAGAGTTGAAAAGGTTTAATAATATTTAAGTGGTCGGCAAAGTGCCAATAAGGAAGGGGTGAGGGCAGGGGGGGGGTAGAGAGGGAGAGAGGGGGAGAGGATTGTATATTATGATTTAAAACAGCTCAGTACAAACCTTTCACTTCCTGCAGAGTCTTGTCCTCATCTTGGCTCTCTGATATTTTGCTTTTCTTCTCATCCTCGTCTTCCTTGTCCACTTCCTCGTCCTCGTAGACATAGTGGTATTCCTCCTCTTCTTCCTCTTCTTCACCCTCCTCGTCCTCGTCCAGCAGCTCCTCCTTCTGTGTGGGCTGCTCGTCAGGTGGTGTCTCACTGAGAAGCAGAGGAGGCGGAGATGAATGAGTGAAAGGGGTGGACGCCAGGAAGAGGAATGATTTATCAAAAGAGGCAGAGCAGCTGCCATAGGTCAATGTCACAGTGCTTTATTTCATCCAGATGGCTGGTTATACCTGCCCTTCACAAGAGAGCAGATATTAAGCTTGCAATATTTTAAAGACATGCCACCACCATGAACACAACCTCACAAAGACCCTTCCCCCTCTTTCACAGCTGCCCACCTGTCCTCTATAGCATCCTCCTCGTCCAGGTCGGCCTCGTCGATCTCCTCATCCTCTACCTCCTCTTCTTCGTCATCCTCCTGGGAGGGCAGGGAAGGTGGGGCAGAATCCACGGTGCGAGAGGAGGGGCAGCACACGTACTCTGTGCCGTGGAACTTGTCGATACCACAGGGCAGCAGCATGCCGTAGCTGTGCAGCTCCATGGAGCTCTTGGCACAGGCCTGACGAGGCAGAGGAAGAGAGCTACAGATGAAATCTGCCGAACACTGTGGCAGGGCTCCACTACTATTACTTTCAAACCAATAAACAAGTGCGTACATCAAGTGACCGCCACTGTCTGAGGACTCAAGCCAATTACATGCGGGGCCTGATTAACCAGGTCAACTATCAATGCCCCACAAAAGCACTTTCTCCCATTGGTCCAAGTTTGTTTGTAAGTTTGCAGGATTACACAAAAACATTGGTGGGATGGGACATGGAAGAACTCTTGATATGGATTTGGGCATAGGGGCAGATCCTGGATATTTCACTGTGAGATATGAGGTGTTTTTGGATGTTTTTCACCAATTTCCAATATTTAGGGGACTAGGCGATGTAAACAGATCTGTCCAGCTGCAGAATACATTCACACTGATTTCTATAGCTCGCTCTTTGTCACATACTGACTTGAGTGATTAATGAGTCACACTTTCAAAAATTCTGGCAGGCCTTTAACAGACGTGCTATTTTTCAACATTGTTGCAACTTCAGTCTCAATCATGGCTGCTGAGAAACTCAGCAGGAGGACTTGAGGATTAGTCGCTCTGCTGCTGGGGGATGTCACAGAGGCAGTTGGTAAAGAACAAATATTGTTTATGAATTTTCTTCTCACTGGGAAGATTTATAACTACTCAGTTCAAACAAATTTGTTGTCAACTATAGGTCAAACGTGCCTTTTATACCATCTTAAACTGTAGATGCATTTATAATATGTGTTATGTTATGTGTGGAAGAATAAAGCCCCACTTTAAACCAGCTTTTGTGTGCAATGGGAATGGCGAGGTGAGAGAGCACCTAATTTCACTATGCGTTTGTGACGTTGAACATGACTTGCCGGGGGGAAAATTGAAAGGCAAACTCCCCTTCTGACAATGGGAAAGAAGTCAATTGCCTTTTTAGTGGGTTTAAAATAAAACCTGCATATTCCTGCTAATTTTGGTGTAAGAGAGGTATAAGACTCAGGAACAAGCCTGAAGGGCTCAATGAGCTGCTGCCCTTACTGTCATGGTTAGAGTGGCCCCCAGGGGCTGGCCCTGTTGCTGCCCGGGGGAATTAGTTGCATTACAGGCACAACACTAATCTGATTAGGAGCTGAAATGTGAGTGTTCCCAGTCGGCCTGTGATCAGAGGGCCTCGAAGACTCACAGAGACAGGTGGAAAAGTATTAGGAAGGGAAGAGGAGAGAGCAGAAGGTAAAAGTGTGGAAGGGGAGAAGGGAATCAAAATGTAGTTATTTAATTTTCCTAAAATTAAGCTGATGCTTTAAGACCCCCCCCCCCCATTGCCACAGAAGTATTATTTTCCCATTGCTCTTCTATCTCTGAGATACAGCCTCCCACTGTTTCCTATGAAGTCATTCCTCCCTTACCTCTTTGGTCACGCCGTGCCACTGCTGATGGCTGATGCACATGTCCATACGCTCTTTGTGGAAGAACTTGCACTTCTCTGGAACCAGAAGCACGTCACTCATGAACTCGCCCACTGTAAAAGCAAATCACACGGACCAATATGCCCATTAGCCTCACATACACAGACACCTGGTCTACAACCCTGCCTGGGTCCAAAACAATAAATCACGTACTGGGACAAAAAAAAATTAATAGCAGATGAGATGAATGAAAAAAGGGCCTGATTCAATAATTCATAGCTCCCTGGTCTATTCAATTTCACTGTAATTTCACTACAGTATCTGACACTTGGACATCTGTCCATGCACTGGAATCGGTGGAGCTGAATTCATCCATTCTCTGTAGCCACATCTGTCAATCTGCTGTCAAAACCGAACAGGAGGAAAATCAGGTTTCATACTGTGACTCTGTGGCCCAGACTTTTCCTGTGAGTCAGTGATATCATTTGCTTGATGAATTCAATTCAATGTTTTATTCATGGAAAGAGCTGACGAGAAGCCAGATCGGCAGAATTAAAAAGACTTGAAAGGCGTCTTGAATTCCTCTGAATAGCTTCGGGTAGAAAACCATGCGCGTGTAAGCATATGGTGCTGGGGTCAAAAGACAGATTAGAAAGGACAGTGACTGCTGATGGGCTGGAAGTGTGACGAGGCGATCAGGTAGAAACACCGCCAGCAGAAAAGCATGGAAAGCCAGGCGGAAAGAGCAAAAGGAAGAAACGTGGTGTTTAGGGGCAAAGTCCAGGCTGAGATCAGCGTGCCTGAGGAATGGGCTGATTGAAAACACACAAATAATGGTCTGGATTTTTCACGACAACACTGAGATCTGTCGTGTAACTGCTCATTCAGTGGTTCACCATGACCTCGGCCTGAGGGAGAGCTGCTGGAGGACTGCAAGGCGGAGGAAAAAGCAGTGTTTTGGAAAATGAGAGGGTAGGAGAGGAAGAGGAGAGAGCTGGAAATAGCAGAGGACTCAGCAGCTGCTTCTCATCTCCGCCCAGGAGACACAGTGACACCCCCCTCACACAATCTCACCTTATCTCCGCACCCTCTCCCTCCCTGCCTCCCTGCTTTTTTAGTTACTCAAGAGGAGAGTAACTAAATATATTTACTCAAGTACTGATATCATTAATAAGTTTCATGGTTAACATTAAATTATGCAAAAATTCTGACAATGAATTGTAAAATGTAAGGTTAGTTATTTTATTTGAACTGCTTTTAAGTTGGGATGCATCTATACATAGATCCACCGTTCTCTCGGATTAAATTCTAAATTAGTCTCTATTGTCATTGCATGCCATCATATTTAACCGAAATATGATCATTGCATTGTAATAAAGGTATTTAAATTGCATCTGTAGCTCATCCAAACTACCCAGAGCATATTAAATATTTTAAATTAGATCAATCTTAAGTAGCTGCAACATTTAAATAGAATAACAGAAGAGTCCAATTCAATATAATAACACTCTGAAAGTGGTCATATGCATAAGGAATACTTTTAGTTTTGATATTTTAGTGGAATGTTTTGATATTAATCACTATTATACTTTTACATAAGTACAATTTTGAATAAATAACCTTTATTGACTTTGTCATACAGTCATTTTCCATTGTTTTATTGCTATTGCATCTGGATATGTAAAAGGATCTGAATACAACTTCTCCCTTTAACTTCTCCCTCAATTAACGTCACTGGGTGAAACCGAGGAAGAGGAAATGAGAGCTTGGCTCCATATCCTTCTCAACGGAAACAATGGAAAGATTCATTCACTCACACTCTCCCTCTTCATTTCATCTCTCTCTCTATCTCACTGTCACTCTCTCACAGGTGGCTCTGGTTGTGAGGTGGAGTTGGTTTCAAGCAGACGCTGAAAACACAGTCGCACTGCAGAGGGTGATGGATGGTGGTGTTTGGAGACCAGCTGTTTCTGCTCTGTGTGTTTCTGTGCATGTGTGTGTTTTTGTGCGTGTGTGTGTGTGTGTGAGAGAGAGAGAGAGAGAGAGAGAGAGAGAGAGAGCACGTACTCGTCTTTCCCGATGACCCCCTCTCCACCTCCTCTATTCATCCACCTTTCCTTTAACCTTCAGTCTATCACTGACACACTCCAGCACTCACGCTGGCTGCACTACAGGCGTCTGGGGAGTTTGGTGGAATCATGTGGTAAACAATGAACCAAAGATACCTTCAGTACAGAGAAGGTGGTGAATTCAATTAAACTGAGATCTACTGGTCGACAACACAGCTTTTGTGTTTCAAGGGCTTTCTAAAGGAAGCGTGCTGTAATGACATTTAGCATAATCACAATGCGATCTAAAAAATGCAAAAAACAGGGTTAGTGCACTTGATGATTCAATCTGTTAAATATTTGACCACTTAAAAATGACATATATTAACATGCACAAGGGAAAAAAAGAAAATATTGAGTTTTTTTAACACTAATATCTAAGATCTTTAAAATCATCGTGAAATATTAATAAAATAGAAATGAACTTAGATGCAGTTATTATCTAGTGTTTGCTGTTGGCAATCAGGCAAAGAATGATATCAGGTTCCAGTCTGCTGCTTTGATTTTTTCCTCCATTTGCACGACAGATTGTGCTTTTACAAGTGGGAGAAACCTGATCCGCCAACATGAAGGGATTACATGGAGCAGACATGACTAAAACCAGGAGGTAGCTGTCGGCTGATGTTATATAATGGAAAGAAGGTTTGCAACATACTTGTTTTTCAAGCCAGTGTTAATCATTTTCACCCACAGGCAAAATCTAATCCTTAACATGACTATAGGCTTTACCTTTCACAATTTCAATTTGTGATTCACTAATCTTATAATCAAAGTAGAAATGTTTCAGTCCAACACTTCTGTGATTCATAGTTCAGGCTAATTTTTAAACATGTCCAGGGGTGAAAGAGGACAAACAGTCAGAGGTGTGTCCCTTATCAACCACAAGACTCAGCCCATCCGATGATATCAGCAGTTGTCACCATGCGCCCTGCCCTCTGTTAAATCAACAGGCTTAGTCAACAGGAAAGAAAGGTGTGCATCAGCTCTATAAACGTCACTTATTAAGTCCCACTTCTTACTTGCTTGAAATAGTTATGGACAGAAGCACAAGTTCAAGATGAGACCTTAGAAGAAGTGGAATAAGTGAAAGTAAAGTATTGTGATAATGAGTGATTACAACATTCATATTGATACCAAAATGTCTGTTTTTCCTGAGCACAAGAACCAACACGACAGTCGCACAACAGCCCCTGACTGTTCCCACCATTCCAGACATCATAATAAAAAAATAAATAATCCTCTGCTGTTTGACAAAGACATCATGCTGCAGGGATTAGAGTGCCATGGAACAAAAATCACATTGGTTTTGGGACAGGAAACATGCAAGACTTGTCTGAGACACTGCATGTAAAGATGGGACGCAGCAAACCCCATCTCTCTCTCTCTCCGGCTTCTGTCCCTGCTTTTGCATTATTCATACGAACCTATTAACTTGACATGGCTGCTGCTCTGCTCCTTTTAATCATATCCTTCAAGCTATAGCTCATCTCCCTTTGCTCTATTTCCTTTTCTTTTTGATTCTGCTATAATTAATGTAGAGTGATGAATATAAGGTACAAATAATGAATCATTTAGCAGCTCTCATCATTGCCGGATGGCCCTGACGAATTACACACCGGTGAGGTGAGACGCAGTGAGGTGGCAGAGACATGCCGTGCCTCATAGTGTGTGATCAGAGCCCTCCAATTAAGCCCCTAACACGCTCCATTACATCATTAAGCTGAAAAACTCGCGATAGCTTCCTCTTCGCCAGCACCTTATGTTTATCCTTCTTTCTCCATCTGTGTCTGTTCCCTTGGTTCAGGCTCCTCATTTGCAACGCAACAGAGCAGCAGAGACACAGCCTTTGGCATTCAATGGGGCTTGAGTTCACAGACCTTCAACAGCATTGTCAAAAAAGGGAGAAATCAAGCAATGAAGCCATTAAATTACTCTAGAAGAGGTAATGGGATTGTTTTAATTAAATGGCAGTCGTTGCACTGTTGCTGAATCATTATTAGAGGTCTTAGGTTGTTGATTGATGCAACATGGCCACTGTAAAGACGGGGGGCGAGGGTATCAGGTGTAGCAGGTACATAGACAGACACAGCTTCAGGATGTAAGATGAGAGCACACTGGGGGAAACTTTGGGAGTCAGAATTCTGCCTGAACCTCTCTCATCTGTATTCCTGTCCAGGCCACCACATGGGCTCTCCAGTTGTGGTGTTTGCTGTCCCATGAATTTCCCAAAAGCCTCCTCTCTGCGTTTGCCAAAAATGCTCTTGAACGGTAGCCCATTTCACAGTCCAGTGCAATTGCTAATGGCTTTTTCATCTCGGAGAGCAGCACAACTCAATCAGAAAGAGGCTTGTGGACAGAGGAAGAGAGCTGGGAAACATTTGCAGCACAGAGGAAGATGTTTTCTTTTCCTCCCTGGCATAACTGGACAATTGTATTGAGAAGCCTTGTATCACAAATCTATTTCTCTGTTATTGCCGCCCTCAGAGGCAGAGGGGAAATTTTGTCTTTTTGGAAATCAGAGGGTACAGAGGCGTATGGCCTGCAGAGTTTGGGGCTCTGCAGAGTATAACTACGTTGCTACTGCTGATTACAGTCATCCTGCAGGAGACAGAGCAGGTGGAGAGGTGCGTATGATGGCTCAGGCGATGGGAGAAATGGAGAGTAATAAAGCCGGCCTCCTTTTAGACCCCTTTCTCGCTGACCCTGTGTGTCTGTGTGGGTTTATGGCCACTGTCTGAGGGGAGAAATAAGATTGTGCTTTATTGCTCAACAAGCCTCCGCAGCAATAATAGCTGTCTTCCCCTTAGCTATCTGCTCTGAGAGACATTAGCCCCCATCCAGCCTAGATCTGCTCAATCTGCAGCTCAAGGCCAGAATTAGTCGACTGAATCAGACTCAAATATTGCTCCATTTCACCTCTGCTTATGGTTAAAATGCATCTCTCCTTCATTATATTATATGAATGTGGGGTCGGAAATGGGGAAAATGGGAAACACCTGATATAAAGGCTCATTTACCATCTTTTCCTTGATTTACTTATTAGTGGCGAAGCTTACCTAAGCATTTGTAAGGCACCACAATATGGGCGTGGCCTTTGCACACCTTCTTCTCCTTCTTGCACCAGTTCTCAATACGAATGGGCTGGTTGGCTTCCACCACATTTGTTATTTGGAGCTCGGGATACATCTGTTGAGAGAAGAAAAAGCAGAAAGTGTATATCAAATAATGAGAAAATGATTTTCTTTCTCAACGTGCGTGCATGTGCTTGTGTGCAAGAGGGAGGGAGAAGGTGCGATGAGTGGAGCGTCAAAGGGATTCTTTAATCCGCGCTTTATACTCTCTAGATGTCATCTACTGGACTGTGAAAGAGCATGCAATTTACTCTTTCCCCAAATGCCATTAAAATGTCATCAATAAATGCAACTGAAGCTTGAAGAGAAGGCTGTTCGAAAATCTACGGCCGCGCTTTTCTTCTTGGACAGCTGCATAATAAAACACGACAGTAATATCAGCGGCCTCCTGGGTTGGGAGATACCCTGGCAGGAACAAGTAAATAAGAGCGAGGATCCATGTTGTGGAGAAACATGTCCTTAATTATGAAGACAGCTTGAAAAAAAAAAGAAGAAGGGTCTGCCTATTGAACTGCCACCTACCCTGAAAATAATGTCCGTCTTTCAGGAGCCGCTCAATAGCCTCTCTCATGATAAATTACAGTGAAATGAAAACTGACTTTTTCCATCTTGCCAGCAGATTCCCTATTGCCTATAACACATACCTATTCAATAATAAATGTCCACATTTACTGTTTTGTTTTTCTATTTTTAAATCACTCCAGTTACTTGTATGTCTAATAAAATAATATAAATTAAAAATTGCTACACATTTTATCAATTAAGTGATCAAATAAAAAACTGAAGCGGTAAAGACGGATGCAGATATAATTTTATTACCTCCGCCAAGGAGATTCTTTTTTCCTCCTGTCTGATGGTTGATGACAAATAATGAATGGACGGATTACCTTGGTGGATGATGTGGTATGGGTCAGGAAATCAACCATCACATTTAGGTCTAAATTTTTAAATGTAGTGATCAAGATGTGGATCAGGGGGCTAATCGAGGAAAATTGCACTTTCTTTAAAATTGTGAGATGGGCTGTATGGTTTCAACATTTCCGTTTGATGGGGAAAAAATCTGGCATATGTAAGGGACTGATATTTATCATTGTGTAACATTTAGTTTGGATCGAATTATTACTGCTTTGGAGCTAAAATGCCAGTGTGGACAGTATGAATGTTTTCTAACTGATGCTTGAATTTCACGACCTCTATGCTATGGATGGAGGTGGGAGGTTAGAGGTGTGTCTGTGTCACAGGGACTCACCTCCTGGCAGTACTTCAGCACACCCTCTTTGGTTCCTACACAGCTCTTGGTTCCGGATGGGTCGGGTTCCCAGCGGCCGGTCTGAATGTTGACATGCATGTTGAGCTTTTCGCAGAACATCGCCACCTGCGGCTCAGCCACTGCAAAGCCTGTGCCTGCATTGGCTGCTAGTGCCTGCAGACAAAGAGAAAAAGAGTGTTAGACGGGGGGTTACTGCAGTCGATTATTGCATAGCCTATAAAAGCCCTTGAGTTTTCTGGCTGACAGACTTGAGACAGTATTTGCTCCACTCACTTGTTTCATAAACACTGTTATGAGTTTGACACAGCAGCAGCCTGGCTCTGAGTCTGAACATATATAGCAGGTTCTGCTCACGTACTGCAACGGGTAACTATTCAAGACGTGATGGAGAAACATCATCAGTCCTGCCTGTCAACACTTGGCTGCTACCGCAACTCAATGCTGCAGTGCTGAGAGAGCGGGGGGGGGGGCTCAGACACGAGACAAATTAAATGCATCTCGGGAATGTTTGGCCGGGTTGATGGTCAAACGAGCAGGGGTTTGATTGGATTTGTGCACAAGGGTTTTTTTTTTTGCTCTGATGCCAATTGAGTGACTGAGAGGCTGCCCACAGAGAAGCAAGAGAGAAGAAAAAGAAAACTGCGGTACGTCATGCCTCACAAACCAGGACATTCCTGGCTGAGGGCAGAGCTTTGCTCATTCAGACCTCCTGGGACCACAATGGGTGGATCATTTACTCCTCAAGGTAAACACGAAGGGTTGTTGATCCACTATCCCCTCAGATGTACAGAACAACACATGTACCTTGATTAAATGTGTGCTCTGCAGTAGCGCAGGATTTGTTAAAAAATACTTCTGTTTTTTTCTGTGAGTTTCCCATCATTGTTTACCTCCCTGCCCTGCAGAGGAAATGTGCTATCTTTCTTCCCCTGTTGTCCTTCCTATCATCATTTTCTGAACTCAGGCAGCAGGAAGCAGCAACACCCAGTCTGTTCCATCCTTCACTCAGAATAACTAAACACCACTCTGCAGAGAATGGACACCAACTGTCCCAAACTACTGTGTAATCAGCTTTCCCATGATTGCCTTTCAAATGACTCTGTGCAGGGCTCCTCACTGAGACAATAAATCACAGCCCGCCAATACCTGCTTGATGCTAGGGGTGGTCACGGCACAGGGAACTCTAATGAATTAGCAAGGGGATATTGCTCAGAATCACAAACTTTCCAAAAAACACTCAGCAGGGAGTCTCCAGAGAGGAAGTGGAACAGAACCTATCCCCTTTTCATTGTCATAATGTCATCAGGCTGAGTAAACAAGGCTCGAGCCCCAGAGAGATGAGGGAATCGAGTGATGAGTGTTGGACTCAAATGTCTGACTGTTTGCTGGGACCTAAGCCTGAGGTGTCCTCCGCAGTGCCGAGCCACAGAGAAAACGGCTGAAGCGGGAGACTTGAGCAGCAGCATGTTAGACAAAGCTCTTCGTCTAATTCTGTGCAGGCTCGCAGGCTGATAATGGGTGACAAACAGAGAAGAGCGAGGACAAAACAAGTGCTGTGTAATCACCAGTTGGCTGTGGTGTGTGATGAGCTGCAGAGCCAGCCAGAGCCAAGTCTGCACGCACACGCACATAAACTGAATATCGCACCAGGCAAAAACACACACATTCATGCATACGTTCAGCCGCACAGGCACTGGTGCCCGCACACAATCATAATACACAATCATCAAACAAATTCAGAAAAAACAGGCACATGTTCATCCATGCAGTGAAGCAAACAAACATTGGACTGGCTTGATTTGATCCTGGAGGCACAACAGCCTCAGATTCAACCTCATTTCCTCTCCTTCCTTCCTTCTCCCCTGCCATCTCTGTGTTTTTGTCCCGCGCCACTCCTCCCTCTCTCTCTCTGCACCATCACAGTCTTGTTTGCTCTCCTCCCTCTCATTCCTTTGTCAGATTGGCTTGGGGTGTATGAGAGGAGCAGAGAGGTGGGGAGGAAATGAGGGATACAGAGAGATGCAGATTCGGGAAGAAGACAAGGGAGGCAGTGACAGCCTGACCACGACGAGTCACTGCGGCTGTGGAAAAACAAGCGTCGGAGCTTTCCCTACACCCCTTTGACTCCACTAAAGTGGTTAAGTCTCAGTGTGTCTTTAATTCTTCAAGTGTGGCAGTGGCAGTGGAGGCAGAGAGGAGGTGGTTAAATACCACTGCCTTAAATATGCAGTCACATGCTCGTTTAGTACTTCAGAAAGAGCCGCTCAGGGCCAGACAAAGTGAAGTGCCATGGAGGCTGTGGGGAGCCTGAGAAATGTCAAGACTGAGGGCTCGAGGAGGAGCAGCAAGGCAGAAGAAGAATTTCATGTCATCCTTTGTCATCACTACTGTTACCTGAGCCAGAAGGATTACTGGTCTCCAGAAAACAGACTGAACAGTTAAGTCTGCTGAAAGAGCCGACATCCTTTAACACAGACACACATGACTGCAAGAGATAGAACCAAATAAGCTCTTGAGACATGTGAATAGTTTTATCTGATCTTGAATCTGATAAAAAAAAAAAAAAAACGTATTGTGACTCAGTCCTGCACAATCATTCAAGACCCAATCATGATCTTTTCCATCAGCCATTATAAAATTGAATCAGACGAGTAAAAAAAGAGAAATGAACTCTGAGGGTTCATTTTAAACATCTAAATGCAAGGTCTAAAACACATGTAGTAACAGGTAGCAACATTCCACCTGCGGCTGCACGCACAACTTGGAATAAACCAATCAGAGTGACTGATTCCCTTTAACAGCCTGGTGCATTTGCATGTTGGCAAACTGATATTAAGAGTGTATTTGCAAAGGAAAATGTTGTGCACCTGCCTATGTAGCACATATTACTCATTGATAATGTGCTAATAACAGTGAAGTACTGTGCCACTGACCTCAGACCAGATTTTGTAGGTCCAAAGTTCTCCCTGCTTCCTCAAGCTAACAATGTGCAAACAATCCACTTGAACACACCTAATTTTGAGATGAACAGGCTCCTGGACATTCCCTGTTTAAACAATGTGGTCTACGTCAGCATGGCAGAGATGCTTTGCGTTGACTGTAAAGCCCAATTCATGCTTCTATGTCAAATGTGTAGACGTGTACCCTACGCAGATCCCTCCGCCGTAACCTGACAAGCATCTCCCAAAAATGTAACTACAGCTCAAGGTGAAGGTGTGCACCTACGGTGTAGCTTTAACCATGAACCATGAATTGGCCTTACAGCCCTGAGACACAGGAGGAAGCCATGGATGAAAAAAAACTGCAGTTAACTGTGGGCTCCATAGTGTTTAGTTCCTTTTCACTCTGATTTGATGTGACTGAACTCCTTAAAGGTCACATGAAAGAACCTGACAGTAATTTGCTTCTGCAGTTTGTCGAGTTTCCACATGAAACAGAGGTTTGGGGCAAGACTTCGTGCCAACAGTGACTTGATTTTAAAGTTCAGAAGTGGGTGAAACAAAGAACGCTAAATTTAAACTGACAGTTGCACTTCAGGATCACTTGTCCTGCAGCTTATTCGCCTGATCGACTGAGTGCAGAAATCTGTTGATGATATTGACGGTCCTGCTTCAAACAAACACGCAAATATCTCTGAAGACTCATGTAGCTGTTAGTGTTGATTCAGCTTGATAGACCTGGAGGATTTACAAGAATTTAAGTGTCGGCTGGTTTTCCCCGAAGCCTGTAATCACATGTTATTAACTGGGATTTACAGGATGAGTAATCAACAACATTTTTAAAGGTGGAAAGAAAAGAAAGAAAGGTGGGATGTAGATGTAAAAGCATAAAGATATATTGAGATTTAGTCAGGATACATTATGGTCCTAATAACATATCCTTAATGTTTTCAATCATGGTGGTTCTATCACGTTACTATATTTTACTTCAAAAACAGGAGGGTTTGTAGCTCTAGGTGATACATTTGAAGTGATTAGTTCTGGTTTGGTGTCAAACACAATCACAGGAAAACAAATTCCACCACACCTAACAAATAAAACTCATCCAGCATTCAGCATCTGACTCACAGTGGGATGTTTTATCATGAGTACGTGTGAACATCTGCTTCCATGGGGAGGTTCAGCAAGGTGGAAGAGAAAAAGGAGGGAGTGGAAGTTTGGAGAAAAGGGAGAGGCATGGAGCTCAGGCAGTGACGGTAAATAGACAACTGCAGCAGGGAAGGTGCGCTGATTGACTTACATCCTGGTTTAACATGTTCTCAAATGAGTGCGAGCTGTAATGTAATAAAGATTTGCGTGAGGCGACTTGCAGGTGGGAAGGACAGGCCTGCCACCACAGAAGCTTGTCAAAAGCTGTGTGGGCTGAGCATCATTTAGCTCATTTTCAGTCTTTGCAAACGCACCGCCTGTCTGTCGCAGCCTCCAGCAGTGCACACAAACATGTTTTATTAGCCTCCTCTGTGTGCAGAGCCAAGTTTCATATAAAACAAGCTACAGCATGACAGAGCTTGTCAGGAAATAACGCACGGAACATCCAATTCACACAGCAAACACTCCTTTCTTATTCTGGTAACAGATAAATATACCTTTTGAGCCTGGATCTCTAATGAGTAACACAGATGCACACACGGTGGTAAATCTGTCTCTGTTTCTTTTTGGAAAACGTTACCTGGCAACACTTAAAGCAGAAGGGCCATGTTATTTGGAGTTGCAGAAATCTAAATTACACAACACCATCAATCATTTTGTGATTCATACTTCATTAATTTACTTGTTATTGTTCTCAAAACATACAACAGTGTCTCATGAATCTAAAAAATTATTTGAAATACGTGACTTTCATTTCTTGAGGTGGATAATGGATAGCAGGCCGAGTGTAAATGAACGCATTCACATGAAATGCTGAGTGTAGCTGCAATAACTGAAAATCAAAGAAACCATATGAAAGCATTACATTTACTGTTCAGTTCAGGCAATGTTTGAGTCTCTGCAAACTGTTTTTATAAAAGACAGAAAATAGTTTCCTCTAGTTGTGAAAGGGAGGAAATGAAGCCTCATATCATGAGCAACTAAAGCCGTTTTCAGACATGAACTCGAAAATGTCCAGACATTTAGAACTGAACTTTCTTAAGACTTCTCCTTTCAGATATGAAG